CCGAGCCCCCTCACGGCCCGGCCTCACCCCCGGGCCGCCAGGGGGCGGCCGCGCCCGCCCTGCTGCGCGCGGGCCGGGAAGGCGCGCGCCGCTGACGCACAGCCGGGCTGCGGCGCGGCCATGGCGAGCGACTTCTACCTGCGCTACTACGTGGGGCACAAGGGGAAGTTCGGGCACGAGTTCCTCGAGTTCGAATTCCGGCCCGACGGTGAGAGCGGGGCAGGGGGCCGGGGAGGCGCGCTGCCGGGCCGCGGGTCCCCCCGGCGTGGTGTAACGCGCGGAAAATCCTCTCCCCGCAGGTAAGCTGCGCTACGCCAACAACAGCAACTACAAGAACGATGTGATGATCCGAAAGGAGGTGAGGCAGCGCGGCTGAGGCGCTTGTGCGAGCGGGACTCGGGGCAGGGCCAGGGTTGGATTTCGTTGCCGGGGCGTTGTGGGCTGGGCTGTATTTATTTCTCTGCCGGAATGTTGTGTCCAGGCTTATGTGCACAAGAGTGTGATGGAGGAGCTGAAGAGAATAATCGACGACAGTGAAATCACAAAAGAAGATGATGCTCTGTGGCCTCCTCCTGACAGAGTGGGCCGACAGGTACGGTGCATAGTGTTTCTTTTAATTGCTTTTTAATTTTCATATGTTAGCTCCCTGGAAGCATAACTAAACTTTTGCTTCAAGCCAGTATTGTTTCCAGCCGAAAGGGAAACAAATACTACTTTAAAACCCGAGTAGTGCCTCAATGACAGTGTAGCTGTGGAAGCTAATATGATCCATAGACCTGCTGTATTTGATATCTTTGTTATAGAAATTTGTAATAAAAAATAAAAACCATCACAGTACTGAAGTGTTTCTGTAACTGGTGCCATGAAGTAGTGAGTTCCTATAAGCTTTTCTTTTTCAGGAGCTCGAGATAGTAATTGGTGACGAGCACATCTCCTTTACAACGTCAAAAATCGGTTCCCTCATTGATGTAAATCAGTCCAAGTATGTACTCTGCTTTTTACTCTGCCCTTGTTTGTGTTTACTAATCTGTATTAGAACTTCCTGATTATTTGGTACCTGTATTCTCTATCGTTTCAAAGTATGAATCAGCTCTAGGGGCACCAGTGCTCTGTGTTGCAGCACAATATCCCAAATGCCTTAAGGCTGTGGCATTACGGGCTGTGTTCTCAAACTCAGAGAATGCCCTCAGCATTCTGAGCAGACCTTGCTGTAGGAACCCTGTTACACACATACAGAGTCTGAGCTGCCATTGGCCTGTTTGTACCAATTTCTTTGGGAGAATCAAGATACCTGTATTTCACCTAAGCTGAAAAGACTGACTATTGTGGGGAAGGGAGGGGTAAAATCCTAAGTGCTGTTAATACTTGTTTTCATTATAAAAATGCATATTTTGTAAAAGCTTAAAATGTTCACAGGTGGAGAAGAGAATATTTAATCAATCAGTATAGAATGAAACAAATCTGTTAATGTCTAAGATGACATCTAAAAAGTCCTCATATAGGCTTTGGGTTTTTTTAATACATTAGTTCTGTAACCTGTTCTTTAATAACATCAGTCTAATTTTTTTTAAGTAATTGAAATTTTTCCCCCCTTTCTTCCATCTGTTGTGAACTGCAGAGATCCAGAAGGTTTGAGAGTGTTCTACTACCTGGTCCAGGACCTTAAATGTCTTGTCTTCAGTCTTATTGGACTCCACTTCAAGATTAAGCCAATTTAAGTCAGACAAACTGAAGTTTGTATTGCAATATTAGCAGTAGGGGTGGGGAGGGAGAATCCTGTTCCAGTTCTTCATTGTTTCTGAAATTTTTTTGTACTTTAGATTATTTTTTGATTGTTATTTTGTTGTTGTTACAAACTGTCAGTGACTCAATAAAAGGGTGATATCTGCGTTTTTAATTTTTAAGCTGTGGTGAGCGACTGACTCCTAACACTTCTTTTATAACGGTGCATTCAGAGTTTGTCTCTTCACTCAGATCACCCACACACTGCACGTCTCTACACAGCAGTAGAAAAAGGAATGAAGCCTGGCTCTGTGAAATGGAACTTTTGCCAGTTGTCAAGGCAAACTTTTGTTACTATCCTGAGCTGGGTATTCTGTTATCCAGCCAAGAACATCTGGCTTCGCACAGGTAAATGGTTATAGCAGACACACATCACCTTCATCCCAGCTGGGGTTACCCACTTACCTCCAGAGCAGAGACAAACAACAGGAGCCATCAGGGATCTTCACTGACCGTCCCGTTCAGCTTCAGAGAAGCTGAAAAGCAACCTAGAATGTATTTAGTTTAGTTCTGGGGTCGCAGATCTGTTGTGCAGCATTCATTAAAAGACAGGCATCCCCCACAGGCCCTGAGGGCAGACCCCATGGCAGTGCTGCCAGACTGCGCTTTTGCTTTCTCTTAACACGT